GGCGGTCGGTTGTGATTTAGGGTTCAAGGCTTGGGGATGAGGATTCAGGGTTGAGGTCTAAGCTTCAGGTATTTGGCTTAATGACTCGGAAAGACTTTCTTGACACAAAAAACAGAACTCTACAAGTACGAGTGTCCTGTTAAAGGCAGCATGCTTAGGTTCCATGTTCGGGGCGCATCACAAAACATAGAAGTAAACCCTGAAGCATCCAATGTAATCCTGCGCACCAAACCCGACACCAAAAAGGGCCCCCACTCAAGGGCTTCAAACCCCACACCTGTTTGAACTATCAGATCCTTAAACAGCTGTCATCAAATTCGAAGAGGTCTCCTCGTAGTCGCATGAGGCCAGAGACCTTTCGGGCAGGTGGGGGTCAAGGGGTTTAAAGTCTGGATTTTGGGGATGCAGTGTTTGGGGTTCCGCGGAGCAGTAGACTCGAGTGTTATGATTCATTAAGAGCTTAAGGCTCGGATCTAGGATTGAAGGCTCAAAGGTCTCGCGAATGCGTGTGAAGATGGAAGCCTTAAGGTCTGAACATTTTTTAATGGGGGCTGCAGTACACATTCCCCCTCACATTCTGCGGGCTGCTGCATTATTTGCAACTTTTTGCTAACACTGACTAGGAATGCTGGAAACAAGACAATTGAATTGTCGGTCGCCGAAAGAAGAACCTGAGCGACTGAATCGGAAACCAGCCATAGTTCGGAAACCATAACGACTGATTCGGAAACCCGAGCGGATGCCTGGGCCGCCGGAACAAACCGGATGTCATTGCCACCCCCATCAACCCCACGGTCCCTGCTCCAGTTTCTGACGCGCCCTGGTTTCCGATGTGTTGCTTCCGATTCGCGGCCCTGTTTCCTATTTCCTGCGTTCTCGGAACAAGTCCTTGCAATTGAAGGTTAGGACTTTAGGGTTCGGGGGGAAGGTCCTGCATTGCAGAGGCCTCAAGGTTAGGCATGTGTATTTTCCGGATTCAGAGTCCTGGCTGTCATCGTGCGAGGGGTACCCTAAGCCTTAATCCAGTTGAACAATAAATTGAAACCCGACGACCCCAAGCCCCTCGAAAAGGATCTCTATATCCTGTCCAGGCACTATCTCAGACATGGAAACCGTGCCATCATCCTCTACGCTGAAGGCTGCGAAGATGCCTTCCCGCGGCTCCTTTGATTAGGATTTGAAGTCTCGCGACTCGTAGGATGCAGCCGATTAGGATTTAAACTTTAGCGTTCAAGATCGAGGGTTTGCGAGTTGAGGATGCAAGTTGTGGGTGCTCACAATCGGACAAGCCAGGCATTGGTGCTGAGTCGGTTGAAATGAAACCTAGTCTGAACTGAAAAGCAGAGGAATGACTTAACTCTCGGTCACAAAGCAGGGCGCTCCCTATACCAGAGCAAGCAAAGCAACGGCAAAAGCAATGCGCTGCGATGAGATCGAAGCAGAGCTCTAGAAACCGTAAGGTTAACTGCACAGCTCAGAGACAAATCTAGGGCGACCCTTCGCATTAGCGGCTTTTTTTGCTGGGACCTTGCAAGGCAGTCAAGCTGCGATTGAAACAAAGTTGGCACGGATCGTAGCAAGCACACTCGGTGTACGTGTGCGCAAGTCAGTGGCAAATCACACCCCTCCCGATGCGAGCTCACGCGTGAGAGAAGCGGAGCATACGGGTGTCACATGATTCTGGTCGTACATCGAGCCATGCCTCTTCCGGAAGCTTTCAAAGCTTACAGCGAAACGACCATTAGCCATTGCACCCCTGTAGGTCTTCTCAGCTTCGGCAAGGACGAGGTATTGCTGAGGAAAGCGATGGAAATGGTACCAGCATGTGATGTTTGCTTCACCATCAGAACCGGCACGAACATTAAGTCTGGCTCGAGTCAAAAAATGCTAATGGGGGCTCAACCGGATCCGCAATCAAAAGACACAATGCGTCATCACTCACTTCGATCGGTTACACGGTTACACTAACGGCGACGCGCTCCATCGGTCCGCAGGCTTGGGGGATTATGTGTACGTTTCCCTTGTTTTCCTTTGCCTTTACCTCATCTCGATCTCACGGATTGGCTGATGCAAGAAATCCGCGAGAAGGCGGAGAGGGAATTCACTTTTCACAAGTACGAAGGCCTGCGCATATTCGGAATCTCCGCGCGCCACGATCTTTGGCGGAGGAGCATCGAAAGACGGCCTTCTTTGGCATGCCTCCGATAAAGTGCACAAGCATCTCACAGCAAGAGATCTATTCCGAAAGAATGTGCGCGGCACTCTGCAAGCAGCAATCCATCTTGAAATTTCGATTGAAAGGCTGGTCGCCGGCATGTCCGGTAAGGCCTCAACAGTGGAGAAGTTGTTATCATCAAACCTTACGGCTCCTTAGTCTTGAACGTGCAGTGGTTGATTCACTGCCGAGAGGCGTATCGTGAGTGCTTTCGGCGGAAATATTTGGATCCGCGCTATGTCCCGGATGGGGCAACACCCAGTGTTGTCAATGAAGTCTGGATAGCATATCTCACTGAAGTGCATGGACAAATGGACGAAGCACTATTGACGATTGACGATGAGAAGCGAGATGCGGCTCAACTGCAAGCCACATGCCCTGGATGTCTTCCATGCTGCAAACGTCAATGAAGAAAAGTCCAAGCGATACCTTCGCGGTCACTCTGAAGCGCTTTCGACGCACCTCGCGAAGATCACTTCGACGATGACTAACGGAATACCCGTTAAAGGTGAGTCGGGTACATCGAGGAAGAGATCGAGGGCACGGTTGCTAGCTGCTAGCAACGATAAGGAGCAAATGTGGAAGAACCTCGACCCACTCGGGCACGCTCAGATTCACCACTATTCCGACGATGGTTATGCTCTCGAAGATGTGACCTTCGTTGAAACCGAGGGCGAGAACTGCGCTGTGGTGAGGGAGCGGATGAATCACTCCGAACTCCGAACAGGAGATGAAGGACGTCATGAATATGGACGTCAAGATTGAGTCAAGATCGAGGCTAAGGCGGTGCATCAGGTCGCTGCGGCCAGCAAGCATCGATCCGAGAACTGTCCGCCCCGCTCGGGATGTCTTCGGTGCCCTTGATGAGGAGATGACTATCCATCCAGAGGACGATTCCGACATGGATGCGGATCATGCTTCTGCAGCTCCTGCGACGCCTGCCGTAAAGCCGAAAGCAATGCCGCCCCAGCGAAGAGAACCACAGGACACGCCAGTCCCGGTTGATAACGATGACATGGATCTCGACGTGCTCGATGGGAGTTGATGCGCCGCGATCTCGTCACCATACTCCGTTGGGCGGGCAAGATAGCGAAGTTCCTCCTCAGAGGAGCCACCTCCTCCTCCCAAGGCGAACAAGCCTCGTGCCGCTTTCGAAGCACCTCACATTGATGGACAGGTGCTAATCTGCTGATGGTCTCTGGACGATCCAAATTTGCTGATGAACAGCAGCTGCCTAGTGTTCTTCGCATGAAGACCAAGATCAACGATCCTAACCTGGGCACCACGCTGTTGATCGGCTGATTCAACTGGCTAGTGATGAAAGTCAGCCGCCGGTCGTTAAGAAGTCAGCTGCGGCAGCTCTCATCAGGCTCAACGCAGACCCTAGCAATCCAACGAATCCAACATAAAAGCAGGGATTGAGCCGATGATCGCAGCCACGCCTCACAGCCCTGGACGAGACCCGCCATCCATGAAGGCTGGATCTGCTATGGAATCTACAGCTCCCGATCCCGAGAATCCACATGACGCGCTTCGGACTGTATTCGCTCAGCCGAAGTCGTCTCGATCACTTGGTCCCCCTGGACGCCCTGCACCTTGTTCGGACCTGATGGGCGATTTTACGTCAGTCCGACAGAGCCCTGCTCCAAAAGGGCAGGGGCAAGGCCAAGGGCAAGTCCAAGCGCGATAAAGGGAAAGGTGAGAAAGGCAAGTCCGATGAAGGTGACATTATATTCGGTTCGGACGAACTTATGTAATATCATTATAACACAGTCTGTCAGGGTAGTGAATCGGCTGCGTGCACTGCTGGGAGATGTGGAGGCCGCACGGGCGCAGGACCCCCACATGAAGGACATCGCTTCGCGGGCATGTGCAGCTCAGGTCGACGTTCGCCCTTGGACATATCGGGCCCAAGTCCGAACATGGGACCGGCCGTGTACTTGAATGGACTATAATTATAGAGAATCGAGCCAGTGTCCATGAAGTATGCAATCGAGACGCAGGCCAACGGGATATTATCATTGATCGCGTAATACCTGCAGCCATGGAACCAGACTCGGTTCAGGAATCGTGCGCACATGTGCAGATCTACCGCAAAGACTATCATGCGGTTCGATGTCAGCCCCTCTTTGAGGGACGATGGCTCCTCAGCATCGGGATTCAGCGTTTCCCGTCCTGGCTTCTTTCTCCATCGGATGTAGCCCATGTTTTAACCCGCAAACATAGAGCTCTTCGGACGGATGATGCGACCGTCACTCATCTCACTTTTGCTTAGCCGTAGTTTTTTTGGTGTTGTGTGGAAG